TAACTTTTAGATGAATTCACTCATTAAATGAAAAGTGAAATTTATTTCGACTCGATATAAGCGGATGGAAAATGAGTTGAATAAATTGAAGAACTTTTTTTTTATTACAATGGAAATAACTTCATGTGTAATTTTGTCGAATTTACGAATCTTTTTCCATTCAATCTTTGTTGCTGCCAAAATACTAAAGTTCCCGTCGTTCGCTTGCCCCGAAATTTAATATAAATGCTTCTCGGGGGGGCGTTATCGATGAAATAGCCCCAGTAACAGCGCCTCTGTGGCCTTTTGGCCCCGAACTCACCACCCAATCTCTTGATATTTAACCGCTATTCACCAACTACACTACTGATTTCCACTCGAACCCTCCGGAGTACCTAAATGTCTGATAACTCGCGTTAAAACGACGTGGGAGCGAGTCGAGCGTGAATTACTGGACGTGTCGGCTGAACGTAATTCAACGTGGGTCGACGTGCAGCATCGCGTATGCTCACCAATGATACCATCTTGCGGGTTCTGGGGTGTGGGATCAAGTGCATTCGATTTTCTGCGGTTCTAGAGGGAATTGCATCTGTTAGATTGAATTAAATTTGGTGGATGACTTTAAATCCCACACGGAGAAAAATTTTTGATAAAAATTATCCTACCGTTCTATAAAAGTGTATCATGAGTCATCGTTTTCTCATTTCCATCTCATAAGGAAAATTATACTAATTGATATTATTCTAGATTTAGTTCAATACTACAATTTTATTGGGAGTATTAGTGATATACTCAAAACAAACGATCATTTTCAAGAATGATACGGTGGTCGAGTGGATAGGGTACAGAACTACTACGTGGAGGGTGCCGAGTTCAAGTCCCGCTCTGGGTGATTTTTTTTCTTTTTTTTTCTCGACCCGCCTATTCTGAGACCACTATTTATTTATTTACTATTCATTTTAGGCCCAATTTAATCATTCCGTTAGCAATTCATTAATTTGTAGCAAAGTCTATGCCAGGTAAGGGTGAAACCAGGCCGCCTGTCACGGCCCTTATCAGGTTTAGAAATCAGGTCCTGATCATGCTTTGCGTTACATTTCTCATCAGGCCCTGATGTGGTAACCGTAACCGGGCCGGATCTTTTCTACGGCACAGCGGACCAGGGCCTGACCAGCCAAGTACTAAAATTTCTACTCGGGTACCCGTATTTCTCAGGATTAGCTGAGAAAAAAATTATTTTCTTTATTTATTATGCAAATATTTCGTAACAACAAGTAATTTCAACGGAAATTTTCAATTTTGTCTCGTAGAAACATCATTTTAAAAAATCTCCAAAGTATTGTCCCGCGATGTCTCGTGAAATGTCTCGCGGCATCACTAGGCCTCCCCTTAAATCGCATTCAATGTCACTCGCTTGGAAATTACTACTCAGTTGAGTCCATGAAATTTCAATTTTTTTCCAACAGTGTACATGAACTCCAGCTGAACTTTATCATTTTCCTTTTTTGAACGGTACACCTTAATTGGGTTTATACTAATAACACGAAGAAAGTAGTGAAATGTGGATTTTAGTCAGACTGCGAATATCCACTTTACATACATTTTACTTTTATTTTCCATTCTCAGTCGTTTCACAAGGCATTCCCCCCTGCACTTCAATTCTACACAGGTGCCTCTCCCCCATTACCTCTGATCTCGTCTAGCATTCGAGTTAAACATGGGGAGAAACCCGTCTCTCGCACGCAGTATTTTTTTCCATCCACTTAGCAAGCTCAAACTTTTTACTGACATGAAACTCCATCCTTTCGCTGAGCGCTGTTCGGCATTGAGTTTCGGGGAAACTCGTTGCTGGGATTATATCTGAGCCGGAGAATGTCGGCGGATGATTTTGCCATTGGGTCAGTTGGATTAGTCTAGCGATTCGCAAAAGTTATGTAGTTTGGTTTTAATCAAAAGTTTCGGATGAAAAAAATTAATGTCCTTCGGGTTGTTATCCGGAAAAATTGCAATCTCCTTTCCTCTAGTGAGGTCAATTGGAAACCTTTTTCTGATTGAGATGACATTTACGTTTACATTTTGGATTCAATGCGAACTGTCTATCAATTGAATTGAAAATTTTGCTGTGAATTTTTTTTACTCATTTTGAGAGAATTCTACACAGAAAACAAGTGGAAAATTGCTTTCGTGAATGATTCATTGAATTCAACATTGCTCCCCCGTTAAAATTGAGTCTCAAGGCTCAGTGAAAACTTTTCAATTCCACCAACGTATCTCCTTAAAAAATATTACAGGCGGTTGTATCTACGATACAGCTGCAATTGTACGTGGATACCTCCATGGTCTTTCCTTCTTTCCCGAATTTCCTAAAAACTCCTTGCATTCCCGCGAATTTTCTGGAAACTCTTTGAATTCTCTCGAATTTTCTTGAAACTCCTTGAATTCGCTCGAAATTTCTAGGAACTCCTTAAATTTTTTCGATATTTCAAGAAACTTCTCAAATTACCTCAAAATGCCTAGAATTTTCTAGAATTCCGATAGATGAGGCTGCACTCGCCCGGTGGCTTGGCGCAGTGGGTAAGTTCGTTCCCTCACATGCGAAAGGTTCTGAGTTCAAATCCTGGCCGCGTAGAATGGTGCGATCTAACCACTTAAAGTCTTGATCGTCATCGTAACATACCCTAACCGGGTCGAAGCGATGTAAAATAACGATAAAAAAAAAAGATGACGCTGCACATAAGGACCGTTTCTCAAAATGACTCCCCATATTGAAACCATAGACGTATCTACGTCAATAGCATGTGCACTGCGAGCGATGAAAACATGGCTTACCGCCCTTGTTACTCAATAGACTATTTTGTGTGTTGGTTCACGAAACTAGAAACTTTCTGTGTATCCTTTGTCTCAACATGGCATATCAAGTTCAAAATCTCTTAAGTAAATTACGTATTTTGATCCTCGAAAAGAGCATGCTAAAGATAAAGCCAAAGAAAATTCCCGGGTATGGGAAAGGGTTCAGTAGAATGGATAGTTTATCCATTATCGTCTATTCTTACCCAATGCATCTAACTTGGGGCATGTATCGGGCATATACATCACGAACGCGGTTGCTCTAAGCACCAGGTTCCTTTGAAACGACTCGAATTGGAAACTTGTGGGTGAGTGAGGTCGGTGTTTTACACCCCAACAACAATATCCTACCATCTGTTATCAAGACAGACGACTGGTTGCTCTGATCACAGCAGAGATTTTCAAAAAGCTTGGGTATAAATTATGAATACATTGTGGAGACTAAAGGTATCGTAGAGTAAAATTTACATCGACGTCAATAAATTACTTGCTTCGAGCGTAATTTCTAAGCAGAGTTCATGACAAAAGGAAACTGAAAATTCAGCACAGATGATTGGAACAAGATTTAGCATAAAATTTTAGATTATGGGGATAAAAAATAAACAAACACTTTGGAGTACTTTCAACACTTTAAGAATTATTATTAAAATCTCAGTTTGACTCTATACAGTCAAGAGGTACTTCACAGTATGAAAACTTACTACAGACTAAGATGGTTGCTAGTGAGGCCGAGGGTTAATATAAACTCTGGAGGGCAATATAATTTCCACCACCTGAAGTAACATTCGGTTTTTCCTTCTTGACCCTTCCTGGTCACCAGATGTATTTATTATTTATTATTCATATTTCTTTCCTACTACCATTACGGTTTTATAGGTTCCCGATTCGTCTGCCTTGCCTCTCCCACTTCTCTCTTCTGATTATTTCTGCGTTACCATGGGCCGTCTTACTCTTAATTGTACCCCATTCGGGCTAGGACTGCAAGGGAAACCATGGAAAACCCCAGTCGTACAGCCGGCCGATAATGCAGGGATCCCACTGTGTCCATTGGTCACACTGACTCAATGGGCACAGTGGTTCTCTACATTCGTGCCTAGCGACTGTAGTCCCACGCGGTTAGGTGTGCCTAAGCGGACACCCATCCAAGTACTGGGCAGTCTGAACGCTGCTTAACTTGGATGACCGCCGGAGCCACACACTCCCCGCGTGACCACTACAGCCACTGGTCACCAGATGTATTTATGGGGAAAAACGCACATTTTGGAAGACCCGTACAGTGAAAGTCCCGCGATAACTTTCCCCCCTTTTTACACTATGAGGGAAGACTCCATAGCAACAAAGCAATAAATCTTTCCTAAATCCAGAAACATAAAACTTAAAAAGAGTGAATTTTGTACCCATGGAAAACCCTGAAATCCAACATAAAATATAAGTACTTTTTTCAAAATTTATAATTTTTCCCACAATGAAGGTTTCTTGATGTTTTCCTCGGAACCTTTTCTTTAGGAAGATATTTTTCCAGAAAACTGTTGGTGCATTATTACAACCGAAATCTTATGGCAATAGTAATAACGAAATATCTCTAAGAATACTAGTACCATCAGATTTGCCGAATTTATGATAAAAGAATATTGAAACATTAAAGATCTCGATGGAGATCAAAAGTAAGAAATTATAGAGAAGTAAATTTTCTTTTTAATCGTTATTTTACATCGCTTCGAGCTGGTTAGGGTATGCTGCGATGATGATCAAGACCTTAAAATGGTTAGATTTCACCATTCTACCCAGCCGGGTTTTGAACTCGGAACCTATTCGGAATTATGAAATTTTATGAAATTTTATGCAAAGGTTTATCACATGTGAACCCCTTTCTTTCGATTTTCATCAGAGAAGTAATAAATCGCTCCATCAACACTTTTATGACAATAATCTGATGAATATCTGCAAAACTAGTAAGTTTACTGGAAAATGTCAAAGAATATCTCTTATAGTCCACGAATTCCCTGGTGAAATTTCCCCTTAAACCTAGGTCCAAGACGTTGAGAAGACTTATCGCGTTGAGTTGATGTCGACAAAATAATTGCTTTCCAATTCAATTATTGTCATAATATTACCTATGAAGATGATAGGAGGAGGAAATTCAGGAGCCGTTAATTATCAATTAGTGTACTCACCCTCTGCGCCTTTCTCTTGTCTGCCCGTTGATTCTGATGATAAATACGACTGAAGTTACTGACAATGACAGGCACAGGCAGGGCTATCACGAGTACTCCGCTCAACGAGCAAACTCCACCCACCACTTTTCCAGCGATGGTTTCTGGTACCATGTCACCGTATCTGGAACAAAATGCATGAGTAAACTTGTTTATTCAACTCCAATTATTATCATTTTTTCAATCTGTTTTGGAGCAAAACGGAATATTCATTCTATATAATTTCACATAGAATTCACAGGGGATATCACAGATTAATACACAAAGATTAAATTAACGTCTTCATTTATTATTTAATAATATCGGCCGATCAAGAGTGCATTTCTCTCTTTGTTTGTTGATAAACTGAACTTGATCATTATAAACCACTAGCGGACTGCAGTCCCATGTTAATCAACTTAAAATCTCGAGGAGGGTAGAATAAGCAGTCTCTCAGGATGAATCAACGCGTAATAAAAAGTCGATAATAAAGACCAATAAATTGGTGATAACCTCAACAACTAGACGCTGTTCTGATGTCCAAATCAACCAGAAGTTGATGGAATTTATGCGCAGTCAAGCTAGTGAGGGGATAGTAGATATTGTTTCTATAGAAAAGTATTTGAGTTTCTATAACATAGTATATTGTGTTACAATATACTATAGTACAGTAAACACAGCAGTTACAGTATTCTATAGTATATACTATAGTAATTTCGGAGAAGATCCGAGTGGAACAGTCCTTGCAGTTTCGTATTGCAGTGGTGGAACGTGATAAATCGACTTATCTTAATCCATTCATTATGAGATTATCTTGAGAATGAATGGTTTTGAGATACAGTGGCTAAAAACCACTCTCCTAAAACATGTTCTCAGCTACGAGAAAGTTGTTTTTTACAGTTTCTAGCGCATTATATTTGCACTGATATTTTAAGGAATTTCGTTATTGGCAATTCGGAATTTTATGGAAAAATGAATGGAAACTGAAAATTTCAGTACAATTATTCCAGAAAAATTAATGATTAATGAAAAGGAAAATTTCATTCAATAAATTCATCAATAAAGAAATTCAAGTAAGTTCAAGAATTCTCATCTTTCTGATGTTCAAAAGCTACCGAAATACCGTTAAATTTTCTGTGAAATCTGAAATTTTATAATTTCTTCCTTTGAATAAGAAATTATAAAAAATCGTCTTTTCAATAGACCTGGACTGGAAACTTGCGGATCCTTGGGGCCTTTAGGGTCAAAAGGGCTACAAGGGTCTCAGGGTACACAAGGATTACAAGGGTCAACACGTATGAAAAAATCGTATAGAAATTTTCTATACGGATTGCGTGTAGAATTTCTATTGGAATTTCGTATATGATATTCGGAAATTTCTATACGAATATTTTTTATACAAATGATTTCTATACGATTTTTATAAGTTTGATTTTATACGACCCACTGCCACATGTATAGAGACATTTCGTATGGCACCTTGAATTTGCAGAGCGTGCATCGAAAATTGCAATTGGAAACTTGTAACCGTGTAGCCATTTCTCCACTCGTTTCCGTAGAATTTGATGTCACAGCTGCTCCTGCGCTGTCAACCTGATTAAATAAATTCAACCACAAGGATAGAGACCGAAAAGAAGAGAGACGCCCCGGTGGCATGACTCTCAACCGTACGGAAGTACACAATGTGTGAGTAACGACAGAACCGTGTGCGATACAGTCACTTTATTCTATCTTCCACCACCATATTCGCCACTGGGATATAGCACTTCCGCTAACAGGAAAACAGTGGATGATAATTTTTTTTACGACTCCCTGGTTACTTTCAAAGCACCACTGTCTCCGAGTGCTTTTATTGCAGAGCTGAGTATTTTATTCTAAGATTTTTGTTTTATTTTCTGTGGATTTACTCTCACAGAAAAAAAGTTTTCTTATGAAACTCCTGACAAACGTGTATAAAATTCCTGGAACTGAGTGAAAAGAGAATTGCTCCATTTCCTTTACGGAGGATGACCGTCCTTTTCCATTATTTCGCTAATATCTCTGATAGGGGAGGGTGGGGCAAAACGGCCCCCCTTCAATTGTCAATAACTTGTGAATGACATTGTGAAAATTCCCAGTTTCAACTTCATTTTGAAGATAATTTTTCATTCTTCAAAACGAGCTCTAACTCATCCCAATCGGATTATTGAATCGGAAAATATTGACGATTGAAGGGGGGCCGTTTTGCCCCATCCTCCCCTACAATGAAGTTTGCAATTTTCCTATGCATATGTTAACAGATATTTGTTCATAGAATAAAGCCGATGAAGGTCGATTTTTGTATATAACTTATTCTTTTAGAATTCTTCTTATGGGAATTTTTGGGAATTTTCCAAGTTTTATTTTGTGATTTTATTGAGGAAGAAATAAAATTAAAAAAATTTGAAAAAAATTTGATTGCATTTGATATGATAAAATGGAAAATGATATTAAATCATGATATTAAATTTAAAAAATATAATAAAAAATATAATAAAAAAGTTACAGACCATGGTTATGATTGGAATCTCATCGGAACCCCTATTCCACCCAAATTATTCTCAATTTCTTCAAGCTTTAAGTTGTGGAGAAACCGCCCGAGAACTGCTACAATCAATCAAAAAAAATCTCATTCTGCTGCAGTCGCAATTTGTCGCTCCACTCAGCTTAGAATAGATTTTTACTCAATCTCACCTTCTGCCCAAAACTCAATAGTCTAACTAACCGCTGCCGAATGATAGAAGGAGCAGCAAAAAATGGTCCCTTCCCTTTTCTACGTTTCACGAAAATTATTATATTAATAACCATCAGACAAATAGAGTCTAGCCAGTGCGTGACTACAATTCTGGAGAGTTCTGTGTCAATCCAGAGGAATATTTTTATCCCTCACATTGGATGTTCGAAGAGAAAAAGAGCAGAAGGAGAGTGAGGTGACAGAGTAGAGAATAAACGGAAACGTGACTCGATTTTTTTCCGTGATGGCTGGAGAGGTCTCACAGAATGAAAAAAAAGTTGGCATGACGCGATTCTTATCAAGTTGATAGAATTCCCAGTGCGTAATGAATCATGAGGAACATTTGTTTTCGAGAGAGCAATGGAAGAGAGGTCGGATGCTGCTGACGTGAAAATGGAGCACCGGGTCAATTATAAAAAGATTGTGGCATCCAGCGGATTCCAATCGGATAATAAAATTCCTATCCCTCAAATTGATTAATCGAACATTCCTGGTTCGTTGCTCTCTTATTTTTACGGGAGAGGAAGGCTTCTTCGTAGGTTGAGATGGAAAGGGGTTCAAGTAGGTCAGAAGTTTTGGGGTAAAATTAAATTATTCTGGGGTGAGTGGAGGGACATCAATTAATGATAATTAAAAGACATACCGAGAAATCTGTCGGATAATCGAATTGGTGGGAGCAGTAGATTATGGAGGGATTTCAATACCAGATTATTTGAGGAAAAGTTTGAGTAGGTGAGAGGGAAATTTGCATGAGGTTTCCAGGAAATTGCGGATTTAATTATTAGAGTTTTTCATTCTGGGGAATGGCACTGATGTTTGAAATTCTTGTAATGCCGCTGCATAAAGTGATGTTCTGATTGGAATTTTGAATTCACAGTTATTGTTTGAGTTGTGGATTGAAGGTCCCTCGCAATTGAAATTTTAGAACTTATTCTTATGACATAACGAGCAGAATAGTTTCTGCATTTAAAGGGTCTTGGCAGTTGGGCAATGAGAAGGTGGGCGCGCGGGTGAGTGGAGGGTGAAATAGTTAAGTTGGTGAAGTTATTTTTGAGAGACAAATACCAAACATGGCGTATGTTGGATAATACAGACAGACGTCGCGCAAATTATTTTTATGGTTAATTTACCCGGAAGAAAAATATAGCTGAATAGAAAATATACTTGAATCGAGTATATTTTATACTCAATTTTGGGATGGGTCTCTCAATTCGAAGACCGGGTTGTACCAAGCTCTCTGAAATGTAATAGAAGAGTCAGTCACAAGTGTCAAAATATAAGGATCAAAAAGTGGAGGTTAAAAAATGAGGGTCAACATATTAGGGTTAGAATATAAAAGTAAAACAAACAGTTGACCGCTCCTATATTGCAGAAGGCATGTGACAGTTACTTTATGTGTTATTTGTATTTTAATTTTTTATTTCTACCAATTCCAGTGATAGTAAGCTTCCGAATGGATCAATAGCAATTCCCTTTTTCAATTTACAGGAGAAACTATTTTCTCCCGTCACATTCCTATCCCAATTTTTCCTCAAGTTATTGTGCGAACAAAGAATTTGGGGAACGCCAAAAAGTCAAACAGCACGAGAGTCACACGGCGATGGTCAAACTTCACAAGAGTCAAACGTCATAAGAGTCACAAGAGTGTGGTCGAATTTCACAAGTGTCAAACGTCACGAGGGTGCCACGGGGATGGTCAAATTTCACGGGATGGAAACGGCACGTGGATCACAAAGAGACGATCAAATTCCACGAGAGTGACCCGACACAAGGGTCACAAGAAGATTTCAAATTTCACGAGGGTCAAACAGCAAGAAGGTCGCGAAGAGACGGTCAAATTTCACGAGAGTCAACCGACATAAGAGTCATACGGGGATGGTCAAATTTCACGAGTCACAAGGGGTCAAATTTCACCGGAGTGAAATGCCACGAGATTGACTAGGGGTTGGTTAGATTTCACGAGTACCAAACCTCCCAAGGGTCACGAGGGGATCGGCAAATGTTCAAGAGGATCAAACCTCACGAGAGTCACAAAGGAATAATGAAATGTTATGACGTTTGAATGTTCCAATGGTCATTTTCCGCGAAGGTCCAACGTCAAAGGAGCGAGGAGCAAAGGATCACAAGAGTCACAAGGAAATACGATGCTTTAACGATCTTTGAGAATCACATGGAACAATCTCCGACTCTTTATAGGAAGGATAATGGTGTTCATTATTCAAGGTAATTGAATTTTTCACGGAATTATTTCGGGCCCTGGAAAGTTCAAAAATTGGCGATCTCCCTGTGACTTTCGTACTGTTTGACTCGTAAAATTTGATCGTCCCCTTGTGACCCTCCCAGTTTGACCCTTGTGAAAATTGAGCTTCCGAATGGATCCGTTTCTCGGGCCT